CTGCTGTTACATTCAAAATTGGCAATGGCTATTAGTACGAGGTTACAAGAGGAAAGTTAATACGAAGTTACAAAAAGAAAAGTTAAGGTATTAGATGTCTTAATTACAATTCGCCCCAGACCGAACGAATTCTTTCCCTAAGTCTCCCCCAATCCTCGCTCTGCTGAGAAGAAGCGACATTCAATTCAGCTACAAAATCATCATCAACCTCCAGCTTCTTGTACTGCTCGACCAAAGCTTGGTTCGCTCAATTGTACTGCTCGACCAAAGACTTAGTTCGCTCAATTCCTTAGGAAGCATTACGCTTTTTAGCAGCCATTCTCGCCTTGCAGTCATCCATCCTTGCTTGAAGTTCCTTCATCTGTGCAGCCAAACTGGTCATCAAAGAGTCTTCAATCATAATTTCGGAAGAGATTTCTTTCAATTCATCCTCAACTTTGTTGATCTCCAGAAGCAAAGACTCTCTTTCAGATGCAACGCGAAGATATTGAGTACTCTTGGCCTTCAGTTCAACATTTTTGGCCAGCAAAGAGAGGATGTCAGAGTGGACAACTTTCAACGTCGCTTTAAAATCAGCAAACATATTGAGCGACGAAAGTGTCAGTGCTTGCGCCAACTTCGCACTCAAATGCTCAAGTTTATCCTTATGTTTGGCAGCACTAGCCTGACCGATGTCCATATCCATAAAAGATACATACTCAAATATCGACTGTTTGAGGAACTTCATATCTTCCTTTGAAGAAGCAGAAGGACGACCAGTTGAAGTAAGGCAAGACGTCTTGACTTGCTCCCAGGAAGTGAACAAGTCCTGGACGGAACGTACAATCTCATCAGCATCCTGCAAAGAGAAATGCCAACATTGACGGTTTTCACTACAATAAACAAAGTGAAAATAAAAGTGAAGCAAAAGGTTACCTCATCAGCAATCTTGGGAGGTGGCATATCACCAGTTGGCTCCACCACCTGTGGCCCCACCACCTGTGGAGACTTTCCCTTATTTGGGCGAGAAGACTCTGCCACAACGGACAGACCTAGAGGAGCCTCTGCATGATTAAAGAAGCAACAAATCAGAAACCAATAGCATAAGCAAAGGTAAAACATCAAAAAATGTATTACCTTCTGGTTCGACGTTTGGGGGGTTGGCGCCCTGGAAAGAAAGTGGCTCGTCCATTGGTTGTGATGAAGGTTCCGAGACTGAAGGTTTCTCTTTAAGCGTAGTCATTTCATTAGCTGGTTTGGACGAAGCAGCTCCAGCAGAGGATGATGGAGCAGGAGCTGCCAACACCAAAGCCGTCAAAGGAGAGGCTGAACTTTTCTGAGAAATTCAAGAAAACCACTAGCACATAGAAATGTATGCTTGTGAATAAACAGAAATCAATTACCTTTCTCCTGACGATGAGAGGAGTGTCATCATCATCATCATCATAATCCAAAATGGGAGATGTTGAAACTGACCGTTTGCGGCTTGGGGCACTCTTAGCTGCAGTAGGTTTGGCAGGTAGAGAAGTAGAGGGACGAACAGATTGTTTAGCACGAGCAGGGGAGGAAGGATTCCTAATGGACACAGGAGTGACCAAAATAGGAGAAGTGGAAGGAATGTTTGGCTAATCCAGTGAATGGAAAGCACGATTGGCATCAGTTGCAAACAATCTGTGCTTCACTGATGGCCAGAGTTGTTCAAAAAGGGGATGAACGGCACAGTTAGGATTGAAGGGGGCTAATGAAAAGTTACTCATCAAAAGAATATTGCCAGCATCTATAACTTGTGCCTCTGCCTTATTAATGGTACGAAAGCGGTCTATCAAATTTTTTGAATAATAAGAGGGAACAGGCCAAGTTTCGCCAAAACCAATTTGGCGAGCAAAAAATTGGGGAACATATATTTCAACCCCAGCTTTGGCATTGGTTCCGGTTAAAATATCATGGAACAACTCCCTCCCAATTAAAAACTGAACCCAAACGAGCAAAGAGGTGCTCGCACTGTCCAGGGTAGATGGAGGTTGCACATAATCTGGAATTAAATAAGCAGGAAAAGGAAAGAAGGAATGAATTGAATTTAAAGTATAAAAAAATGAAAAAATATCCCTTCTAGACATATTTACAGGGCTCAATGGGTCAATGGCTAGCCCATAGCAGCTAGCAGAACGAAGTGACATGGATAGAGCACCAAGTGATGGAAAATAGGCTCTCAACTACAGTTGAGTGAACTAAAGAGGCCCACTGCCATTGGGAGATGCACCATTCTTCAATTGAAATTGAAGAGAAGCCATGCCTCTATAGAGGGCAGCCAAAAAGAAGGAACACAAATTCAAAGGCCTACCACGTGCCAATTCGTGCGTTATAGGTAAATAGCTCATAGAAGACTTTATACTGGGCACACACAGAATATATTTACAAAGTCAAATCTGAAGAAAAGCTACACGCTCAGCGTGGGAAGGCTCAGCGTTTGAGTGATTATAACAGCCTTGCAGGCTTGAATAGGACTCAGTGAGTTTTTTGTCAAATTTTGGGGCAACATCGAAAATCAAAATACCAGGAAAAATGGTGTCGCCCAAAGGTGGAAGATTTATCAGGGCTCCAACATCCCTTAAAGTAATAGACATGGGACCAAGAGGGAAAACAAAAGTATTATATTTAGAAGACCAAAAACTTAAGGTAATAGGAAAAAGTGTTGGGTCAAAAATTGGGGGTTGAAGAGAGATTTCTAATAAATCAGAAATCCTAGCACGATCAAAAATTACCTTGGTAGGACCATGGCCCACAAGGCGAGCATGCCATCTACGGAAAACAACATCGGATTTAGGCCAAGTGTGAATACCTTTTTTCGCAAATCGGCCTCAGCGGCAAAGAGTTCAGGAATGGAGGGCCTTGAGTACAAGGGAAGAGCTGGCCCACCGCCACTTGTTTGACGGCTTCAGCGTTGTTGAATGAAGGACCCAAAAAGAACTCATTAAGTTCGGCATTGGCCGGTGCAAGGAAGTTCGGATTTACATATGGCCGAGTGAGGATTTTCTGGAAATCTTCGAAGCTAAAAGAGTCGTCAGATTGGGTTTGTGCAGCAGCTATTGAGGACGAAATACAATTTTTTTAAAGTTTACTTGAGAAACGTAGCAGAGAAACAAGAAGATGAACAGTGGTATGCGCGAGAAAGAAGCGCGAAATAATGAGGCGTGATTTAGTGGTACAATGAAATGGCGTGTCTTTGGGGTTTATAAGGGTTTGTAGCGTCGCACTTTTTCAGGCTATGAAAGGAAATAATGATTGAAATTCTTGGGAATTTCAAATGTTGTTGGGAAACACAAAGTAAATATGGCAAAGATTAATAATTGGTATTAATTGTGCCATATTGGGGGATAATCGTTGACACACTAAAAGTGCAGCACAAATCGAATAGCCCAAGGAATGAAGCCCAATTTGGGAATTTCCAAATCAAATAGCCCAAAGAATGAAGCCCAACTGGACAATTCAGGATAAAGGCCCAGATAGGGTTATTAATGAATGCAGTGGAAGCCCACGAACACGATAACATCATCGCCCAAGCTTGCAAGACGCCCAAGATCTGAGCGAATGAAGTGCCTTACAGTCGCCCAGAGCTATGACCTTGTTCTCGCCCAAACTTTCGAATCGCCCAGGATCTTAGCAAACATAAGATGTTATGGTTATCCAGAAGTGCAGTTATTGAGTAACCTTATCACGTTCCACAATTCAAGGAGTTCAGTTGAAGACGGTTGAACGACAAAGAGCAGTGGCGGCAGTTAGAGACGGCAGTTCCATGACAAGTTAGCCACCATAAAGAAAGTGGGTAGTTATAAAGCAATCAAGCAATTTCTAAGCGGTTAATCACGAAGAAATCGTCAAGGGAATATAAATGGAAGAGAAGACATAGAGCAAAAGACCCGAATCAAACACTCTCAAACAGGGACTATGTAATTTCAATTTCTTAGTTTTGACTTAAACATTTCTTTTCAGTACTCATGTGCTTGCGCCCCTTGGAGGCATTCTGTTTAGTTTCAATTGTAAAGTCATCGCCAATAAAACACTCTTTTTTGGAATTTTGTCTCAAGAGGTTTGTTCCTTACACAATCGTCTGATCCATTTTTAATTGTTAGCGACTACCAACGCGAAACATATCTACTTATAAGTATACAACATTCAAAAAACCAAAAAGAAAAATCAATATATTGGTTCAAGTAGTCAAGTAAAAGAGAGAATAGATTTAAATTCCAGTATTGTTACCTGAAAAATTGGTTCTTTGGGGGGTGGTGATTCAGGGGACTGGAAGTAGAGGTTTTGATCTAGTTGAGATGGGGGCTGGGTCCAAGTTGACTTGGCGAGGGTTTCCTTTTTGAGGTCGGAATTTTTGTTGAAGGGGTTAAGGGCTTTGAGAATGCTGATGGGGATTCCCGAAAAGAGCACGAACCCGGCTGTTTTCGCCAACGTGTTTTCTATTTCATCGTTGTTGTCCCTTCCGTTGCTGCCATCGGTGGCGCATGGGCTACTCGACATGGTTTTTGTGCCAGCCGGTTTGGGGTGGATGGTGGCAGGGTTTGGAGTTCCTTACACTGCCATTGTGATGCAGAAATGTGTTCTCTTGAACATCCATTTTTTAGCATTTGCCCACAAAATTTATTTCGAAATATACTTAGATGAAATTCATTTGTTGTGGAATACCACTAGACTAATATACGATCGTTATATTATTTTTATATATAATCGTTATATTATTTATTCTTAAAATCGTTATAAAGTACATCAATCTTAAAATATACTTAATTAGAGAAGTTGTGTTTTCTTAAATATAGTCGTTACGTGACCCTTTTTTCTTAAATATAGTCGTGTTATCATAGTTCTACGATATGATGATTCGTTTGAAGTTCTCGGCACTTCAATCTTGGAATCTTCTTGTCGAATTCAATTGTATGTTTCGGCTTATTGGACTCGTTTAGGATATTAGCTTGTGTATTTATTTAAAAAGGTCAACTTTTATTAAGAAGAATTAGTTAGTATTTTTGTAGTTAAATAGTGATTCATTGAAAGTTCAGTGAGCATTTATTGATTTTACTCCAATTTTAAAGATTAATTTTATGAAATTTATTAACTGTTAACAATTTTTTTAATAATATATTTCATTTTTTAATTAAAATTTACAAAAACTCTTGTAAAAATGCTCTGTCCTACGCCCTTCATGCACACAGTAAAGGTTCCTCTAGATTCTTGGAAAACGAATGGCCTTCAACTAGCCAACTCAGAATTTTCCCATTTTCCGCTTAAATTTTTTCCCTCCTCATAAATTTCAACATTTCCAATCAACACACAAAAATTATCCCAATTATTTCCACTTCTCAATGCTTTTTTTCTTAGTTTTTATGTATGGAAAAATTTGACACAGTTCATCTTTGATTCTTTTTTCATGCTGTGGCGATGGCTCAGTTACTCTCACCGGTTTGTGCAGATACACTCAAATTCCAAAACCCAGTAAACAGTTTTTGTTCAAGAAACATATATTCTAGAGTAGCTAAAAAAAGTGTGAAATGGAGCAGTTATCGAGGAAGAAGAAAAAATTCTGGCAGAATCAGAGTGGCATCTCAGGATTCAGTATCAAATCGAGACATTGCTGATGATTATTATGCTGTGTTGGGCCTAGTAATATTTCAAACTTGAATTTTTTATACTTCAGTTTGTTTATTAATCCTGATTCAACATGGGCTTCTTCTTGATTTTCCAGTACTTCTTTGAATATGATGAACAATAACCAGGCTTTAGCTACCCCTCTTAAAAGATGGAACCCAAGATTCAATACCTTAAATCTTAAAGCTTTTATTCATTAAATAACAATTGCTTTACTGAATGCCTAATTAAGGTGAAATATAGAATGTGTATTTCCTTCCTTGTGCAAATTGAGTGAGAATTTGTTACAGTTTGAGAGTTTTTTGGGCTTAGGATACCTACTTTCCGATATCAACAAAACATCTCATGACAAGTTTTGTCATCAACAAGACACACTGACTCTTGGTAGAAAAGAAATGATAATTTATTCTCAATGTTTATTGTATTTGATACAATTCTGTATTTTCCTGATTTAAATTGGATACTCATTACTTCATTTGCTTATTGGCCTATATTACCAGCTTCCAGATGCCACACCTGAGCAAATAAAAAGTGCCTATTATAATTGCATGAAAGCTTGCCATCCAGACCTGAGTGGCAATGATCCAGAGACCACGAATTTTTGCATGTTCATTAATGATGTTTATGAGGTGGGTTCTGTTCTTCTAATGTCTTGCTTTTAAGATTAAGAGTATTCTTTGAATTTCGTTTTTGTGCTTTTACTATAAAGTTACTTTTGCTGTTTAGGTTCTCAGTGATCCTGTGCAGAGAATGGTTTATGATGAAATTCATGGATATGCTTTGACTGCAATTAATCCTTTCTCGGATGATTCCAGCCCAAAGGATCATGTATTTGTTGACGAGTTTAGCTGCATAGGTATGCATTTGAGAACATAATTCTACAAGAATCAAGGGTCAGTTTTACCCCGTTCTGTTGATATTTTAATTTTGAAGCAAAAAAAATTGTTTTGAAAGGAAAAGAGAAAAGAACTTTCAATCTTCGAAGTGATACATTTTGTTTCCTTCAATATCATATATCTATCCATGGCGGAAGTAGATAATACTTTGTGACACTGAATTGAAAACTGGGGATTATTTGATCCCAATTACTGAAGAAGAAAATACCAATATTCGAACTGAAAGCATGTGATCTTTTGTCACTTCAAAATGACCTCTGTGTGTGTGTGTGTGTGTTGTTACACCTTTGAATTGACAGGATCTCTCATACTTTCCATTTCCTTGTGCAGGCTGCAAGAATTGTGCCAGTGTTTGCCCAGATGTATTTGGCATCGAGGAAGACTTTGGAAGAGCTAGAGTTTATAGCCAGTCTGGAAAATCTGAATCAGTTCAACAAGCAGTTGAAAGCTGGTATGTCTTGGTTTATATATTAAGTTCTATATTGCAGCTTTTTCCTTTTTTTTTTTTTTTTTTTTTTTGGGAACTTTTTTTGACTCTTTCGATAGAAAGTTTAACTACGACATTGACACAACAGATGGAAGTTGATTTGGACTCAAATTGAATCCAAAAATAACTTTTGAAATTTTTTTGGATCAAAGACTCAAAACTAATGACAGAGACCGAGAACACAAAGGCAAAAGCGGGAAACAAGCAAAGACTAAAAAACAAAAAAGAAAATATATAACCTTGGATTGGTGCCTAAGCTCTGATACCAATTGATATGAACACGGTTAACACAATCACTAACGAACCCACAAAAGATTGTTGAACCTCAGGAAAGCGAAGAATAAATCCCGATTTCTGGATTTGAATCCCAAGATGATGAACCAAGCAACCCCACAATAATAGTAATATGAAGGACTTCTTGATCACGCAACCAAAGACTCACACCCAGATTTTGAACGCCATAAGGAAGCACCTTGATAAATTCAAAAATTGTTCTAAAAAGAACACAGATTGGAAAGCAAGAGTTGCCTCTCAAATTAATTCTCAATAATGTCAAAAGTTGATCTTACAATCAATATGAGAAAGTATTTATACCAACCCTAAAATTATTGTCTTGGACGAAATTATGCTTCAAATACCGAAAAATAATAATAGAATCAAATTTTATGGAAACTAGATAAGTTACCAAAAATTGAAAATGCGTCCAAAAATTTGTTCTATGCGGTCGCACAGTATAAATAGTCAGCCTCAGTTTTGTCTCGGTAATAGTCTATGCGCTCGCATGGATTTTAAGCTATGTGGTCGCACAATTAATTTTTGAAAACCTTTTCCTTTTTGTGCGAAATTTCGTGACGATTCTGAATTGCACTCATGGGCGAAAATCTGACACCCAAACTGAAAATTATGTCCATTTTAATCCACACTACTCGTTTTTCATATCGTCTACCTTTATCACCTTAATCCAAAGCTCTTTGGCCTTCAACCACAACATGAAACTTGCTCCATTTTGCGTCTCGAACCTGGTATCATCAATAGTGGCTTTGACGAGCATCCCCATCGCCTCTTTAACTCGTTTCTCTTTCAATCACATCATCGGGCCTTCTTCAATAATCAACGGGTCCTTATTCGGACTTGCCTTCATGACTCCCGCATCTTGGATCATATCATATGTGTTGCTTTATATTTTTCTATCGTCCATTTGTTTTACATTTTCCTTTTGAAAATCTATTTACACCCTAATAACTTATTATCAGGCGAAAGGTCTACTAATTTCAATGTATGACTTTGTAGTGTGGATTTAATCTCATTGTGAAAAGCTTCTTTCCAATATGAAGCTTCAATAGATGGCACAACATCTTTATTACTTTAATGTTCATTTTCTAATAGATATTTTAGGAAATGATAAGGTTTTTGTCGTTGATCTCTTACTACGTCTGGGTTCTTTCTCATTTATTGATCCTCACTCTATAACCTCTTGATTTTCACGATGTCTTTTAGTGAATTTTATTCACTTCATATGTTACAAGGAAATTTTTTTCCCAAAAAATGTAGCATCCCTCGATTCAAAAATATTAAGAACGTCAGATTTATGTACAATAGCGTACTACTATGGTAAATAACCAATGAACACACAATCAATAATTTTATGTCTTATCTTAACCTTTTTAGGTTTATAAACCCCTAACTTAGCCAGACATTCACATACATGTAAATATTTATAGTTAGGTTTGTGACATTTCCATTTTTCGTAAGGTATTTTGTGCATTTTTGATGTGACAATGACACACCCCGCCCCGTGTAACACCACTAGATCCGGACGTGGCATGCGCCGATGATAGATACCAACTAAAAGTCGGACCCACCATCAAGGCTATTACAAATACAATATATCACTTTTTATGCATCATTTTTCTAACAAAATTTCAGCATTATCTCCCCTATAAGCAGGACTAACCAACATGTGATCAATTTCATATAAATCCCAAACTATTGCACAGCACAATAAAGATAAGTCGAAATCTCCACTTTTACCAAGAAATACAATGAAATATACATATAGATACATAATACATAGTGAGCCCCATAACTATTTACAAGTGTGCAAAATCACATCTAGACATGAACATGTGTCCCAAAACACTGACTACATGTTCTATGAAGTGAGTCATACTAACAAAATCTATCGTGTGGCTCCGACTCCAAAATCAAGGCTCAACTCCAAAAGATGCCCAGATTCTCAACTGGTGCCTGATAAGGAAAAACGTGGAAAATATATGAGTTGATAGCTCAATGAGTGGAGAAGTTCAAAATAAATATAATTTTTCATTTATACATTTTTATTGAAAATCAAATTCATATCATTTGATAATTCACAAGCTACCATCATGTAATTATAGCCAAAAGTGAAATATTCACATAAGGTCATAAAAATATCATCTTAAAATAATGAGGATGACGAAGCAGAAAGATTCTGATATAACTCGATCATATTGGAACAACCTTTGGGACAAACCCAAAGCCCGTGAAAAATCAGGTTTTCTACGAACTTTCCAACAACCTTAAATCATATGAATTTTGTATGGATGAAAAGAAATCTAGTGTTAATTTATTCACTTGCTCCTTAAGGAAACTACTAACTTTTGGCAACCTCAATTTGAATCCAACTGAGCATGTCTAAACTTTCTCATGTCCTCATATTTGAAAGTGTTTGTCATAAATTTTACTAAAATATCTTTGTAACGATTCATGAATGCTGCATGTAGTTCGCAAGGAGCTATTTTGGTAAAATGGAGGGCTCTCACACTGACAGAAAAATGTCAAACGCCTAAGTTCTTTTTTACCAAGCATCATAGAAATTCCTATGCTTGCACTACATATTTTGTGCCTTTTCGTACTTTATGTATGAGTATACACAAAGCACAAAAATGGGGTTCATAAAAATGTATATGTGTGCCAATTGTCTTCTGAGTTCAAATGTGATCGAATCTGCCCGGCTGATAGGTTGGAAGTCTATAGTTTATACAGACTTAAATTCCTTGATGGCTTATGGATTGTTAGTTTCTGATTGTGTAATCTGCTAAACGTTGCTGAAGTTTTAGTGTTCGTTGCAGAGGAAGAAGTGAAAGAGAGGGCACGACGAGCTGCAGCAGCTTCTCGAAGATGGAGAGAGTATTCTCGACGGGGAGCTGACAAACCTCCCACTTACAAACTTCCTGAGACAGTCTCTAACAAGGAACAGTGAGCGGTAAATTTGAGTATACATGTATATGATATAATCCTGCAAATATGTAGTTCAGTAATCATTGACAGACAGAAAAATTTTAATGCAACTTGATATTATCTCAATATCGATGTATCTTAGTTAATTTCTTTAACTATGGAACTATTGAAGGCAACTTTTGAATAAATGTGTAACAACTTATAATTGTTATGGTATCAAAACAGACAATATCCAGATTGTGAAAAAGTTGACATGTATATGCGTGTGTTCTAGAAAACGTAAATATATGGCTAGACAGCATCACCAACCTTCAAGCTTTTTACGAGCTTTGTTGAGGTGTAAAAAGCATATGTGGCTATGCGTAAAGTAAAGCTTCGTGCCTAGACATGTTTTTTAGAACACTGTTGATATATCAAACCAATATCGATTTGTTCTTGTGCGGTTTCTTCTTCTTTTCTTTTCATAGAATCAATGGTTGTATTTTCACAATTTTGAATGAGAATTTGGTTAGTTCTATTCTCAAGGCATCATGATGTTCATCCGTGTGATTATCGTATAGAAAATTCTAAACTTATAGGTGCTATGATTGTCAAATCAAATTCACACTAACAGTTAACACATATTTGAGTATCGAATAAAGCTAAAACCGGACTTCAAACAAATTACTAATCATTGACTAAAATTTTAAAATTAACATTTTAAAGCCTAATATCTATAAACCTAAAATTTAATATAGATTTTGTGTGTGTATCTTGAATGATTGATGTTAGTGAGGTAACGTGTAAGGCTGGCATCTCTTTGGGGTAAGAAGCAGTCGTTTTTGACCATTGCCTAAACAATTATTCTTTACTCGTTATTAAATAAATTAATCAATTAATTATATTAATAATCTCTTGTATGATGATACGTGATCCCATCTCATTTTATTAATGAATGTTTTAGTAAGTAATATTTTATTAGTATTTTAGTAAGGCAATAATCGAAGTTATGTTATCATAAAATTATAAACTACAATAACATGTCCGATACAATATACTCTTGACGAGAACTTAGAATAGGAATAGCTAATTTCGCTCCACGATCAAGTTAAAAGTTATAGTTACATTAAGAATCATTATGCTGGCAAAGAGGAGAGAACGAGAGTATGTAATATTGGAGCACCAGTAACGTCTCTTTAATTTTTAGATAAATTATGTATTATCTCGAGTGTTTGACGTACTTCAAATGTATCTGTGAACTCTTAGTAGATCATAACATATATTAGCGCGTGGAGCCCCTTGTGTTGACTTCTTCTAATTACATGAAACAAATTTGGCATGGATAATTTTTTTTTTTTTTTTTGGGGTAAATTTAGGTAATATGAGAATTTTACTATTGCAATTTCATTCCATCCTTATTTATTTTTGGTTTGGTGAGGTACCCCCAAGAAAGGGGGGGGGGGGTTGTCGAAGGTCGATAACATTCAAGTGGACTAATTTATATATGTTTTAACTTTTAAGGAGATGTTGACTATGATCATTCATAAATATCAAACATTAAATTCCGCAGTTTTCATACGCTACAGATCCGCACAAAGTGGAATTAAGATGAATAGTAGGGCCCACTTTATTATATTCATCATATGTAAGTCGTAATACAAATATTTATGTGCTATTATTATTATTTTTAATGAATAAAGGAAAATTTGACATTTCCACTTGTATTTGATATGATTTTGGGGGGATGGAAATGACTCGTTAGGCGAGTTGTTTCATAAATTGTTTAGCCATTTGAAGACAGCGTTAGCATAGCCAACAATGTCAAAGCTCAATCACATTAAGGAAAGGGCAAAAAAATGAGTTGAAATCTGCTGTTTAATTTTGCTATTTATTTTACTGTCCATTCAATTAATTTTTGATATATCATCAATTTAATGGGTTAGTGGTGAAGTTTATGAAGGTAAATTTGAGATAACATTTAATTATTGATTACATGTCAAGATTTAATTGGATGGACAGCAAAATTGAACAACAGATCTCAATCCCAAAAAAGTTGGGCATGACTTCACTTGAAAGTGCTTGGATCTCCATCATGTGGGCAACTTAGGCTCAGTTTGATCCCTTAGGTGGAGCGCTTGTCCATGGGGTTAAGGATCCTCGACTTCACCACCTATTTGTGGGTCAAAATTGTTTTCTTCTCGGTGACCCCAATCTTGGGTGGGTGCACCCTAAGGTTTACTATCTCACATCAACAATGAGTCATACTCCATCATATATCCTATACTCTGATTTCAATGGAAGATTTAAGGTCTCCGTGGTTGTTCATATGTCGTGTTTGTTCTCATACCTTGTATTCTCTTTGACTCATAATTGGATCATCTCATGTACAGTTTTTTATTGCATTGGTATCTAGTAAACATTCTCTCCTCTATTTGAATCTCCCCAAGTAAGTTCTTTTGTTTAGATAAATTTATGAATTTCTAATACAAACAAACAAAAGATTAGGAGATGAATAGAGATTTATTTGAATCTAAATATTTACACGAAAAAGGAAAAAGAAAAAAAATGTATAATTGTGCTACATTAGCAGATGAAATTGAATTTCAATTACCTCATTTTATGTAGTGCATGAAAAACGTTACGCTATTTATCAAAATTAAATATATTTCGTTAAAATTTATTTCTACCAAATTTACTATCATTTTTTGAGAAAAAAAAAATCTTCCATTTTGGAAAGAAGATTTATAGTTTACAAAGTCGCACTTGGCTAACATCATTCTATAATTTTGTATGTTTTGATTGATATGACATAAATATCATTAGAAAAATTAAATTAATATTGATATGACGTGGCTATGTAAATGAGGGCCCACACAGAAAAAATAAATAAACATTAATTATTATAATTAATAAATTTCACAATATTGTCTGGCAAATAGGGTTAAGACTTAAGTGAATTGGCTTGCACGTCCAAAATAAATTAGTCTTGAGCCAATCTGTCAATTGGACTGCTCCCATATAAAAATCCAAACTACCATATTCCACCATCTTCCCCTCTTCACAGTTAATATTCCGGCAACCCCCCACTCCACCATGACAGAAAAATGTAAAATGAAACTCAGAAAACATATATAGATCAAATTTTTACGTAATTTCTACACAAGTGCATGAAAATGGAAGGAAGATTTAATGAGCAAGATGACTCCACCAGTACTCAAGAAAACGTGGCTGGTTCACCTCTTTCCGGCGGTGATGAAGCAACTGAAGAAGTTTACGAGCCTTCGCCCAAAAAAAGGTTTGAATTTGAATATTTATTTATTTTTCCTTTCAGTTTAGTCCTGTTCTCTCGATTCAGGATAAGATAGATTCCTTTGTATTAGGAGAGGTGCAAACAAGAGGGTGGTGACAATACCATTTGGCGGAGATGGTGGTGGCGGTGATGGATCCAGGAGTAAAGCGGAGGTGTATCCGCCGCCAGATTCTTGGTCCTGGAGGAAATACGGCCAGAAGCCCATAAAGGGTTCACCTTATCCAAGGTAAAGATACAAATTCAATTCATTTTTCTTGCATATGAACCAGATCAATCTTTCTTGTGGTTGCCGCCGGCCGGGGAGTTGGTGATGTTTTGTAATAAAAACTGAATATATCATAGGCGGCTTTGGAATAAATAAAATACATTGATTGGGCACTTGGAGTGGTTGAAATTTATTCACATCACGCGCCTAACATTGGTTTATTTTCCACTACCTCTCCTCTAACAAAAAATTTGGAAATTTTCTTCATAGAAGTGTGAAAATTATTTATTGTAGTTTTCTTTAACAAAAATGAATTATTCATTTCGTGTGGATGATGAATTTTTTGTTAATTAATTGGATGAGTGACTAAGCCATAATTTTCAGATAGGACCCATTCTTTGAAAGATATTCTCAAGGGATCTCTATCCACCAAAATATTTACTTCTGGTCCTCCTAAGAGCTTACATCGATGGAAAAATTTGACACCTTAATGTCAGGTCTTCATCATTTGAGGTTGTAGTATGTTCTAAGGATTAATTTGTTTGCCCATATTGTTATGTATTAAATTTTTTTTAAAAATTTGTATATATCGAGAAAATTTAAAAATTATGGGGACGGTCGTCTTCCTTTGCCCCATGTCTCCTCCAAGCACTTGGTTGGGAGTTTCGTTGATATCAAATTTCTCGAATATTATAGGTTCTATGCAAGAGAAATGATATCCCAAAACTAGACAAATGTGAATAAACACGAGTAAATAGTTTAGCCACGTCAAAGAAAAAATATATGTAATAATTTATTTATTTAGTTTGTCATTTTTTAAAATCTAATTAAGAACTCATCCATTTCCTAGGCTTGTATATCCTAACTTGTGAATGACAATCTTATAAAGCCCCCTTTTTTGTTTAGTTAGAAATAAGATTTTGGGCAAAATTTGATAAAAGCTGACGAAATGTGCGGTTGAAAGTTGATAAAAGTTGCAGATTCTATTAAATATATGGTTGAAAATGAGTTTAAAGAGAAATAAATTTTTTAAAAAAATGAGCAAATGTAGCACGATTATGTCATTCTATTTCTTAAATGTTAGAAAAATGTGTTTTTATTATAAAGTTGAACCTTTTTTGGCTAAATAAGACAAATGGATTTGTTTACTGAGTTGTCCATTGGCATGTATTGCATGGCAGGGGTTATTATAGGTGCAGCAGCTCAAAAGGGTGCCCTGCTAGAAAGCAAGTAGAGCGGAGCCACCTTGACCCCACCATGCTCCTCATCACCTACTCAGGCGACCACAACCACAACCACCCTCTCCCCGCCACCAACAAATACCACCACCACTCTGCCACACCGGCGGCTGCCTCCACTTCCTCATCCGCCACCACTCTTCCTGCCAAAATCCATAAGGAAGAATGTTCTACATTTGTCAACCAACCAGAACTCGACCCTGCTGACAACGGTTTCACCGAGCTGGCTGGTGAGTTTGGCTGGTTGGCAGATGTTGGATGCGCATTGTTAGACAGTCCTGTTCTTTTGGGTCCCACATGGACTCAAGCTGACTTGGAAGTATTCATGCCAATTGGAGAAGAGGATGAGTTTTTGTTTGGTGATCTAGGGGACTTACCGGAGTCATCAGTGGTTTTCCGGCATTGCAGGACGGAGACGCCATGCTGCGACGGCACAGGATAAGATGTATTGATGAATTTGATTTCCAGTGTGATCAAAAAATTGCCATGGTTATTATACGTCTATTCTTTTCATCATCTGTTTTCTTTTCTGAGTGTAAAAATTTCAAGGAAAAAAATAACAATTCTCTTTTTCCCTTCTGAATTTTTAGACATATACATAGGTACGTTTTCCATGCTACTCCTAAGCAAAGCACCGGAGTATTGTATTGACCAAAATATAGCCCTTCTTTCTTGTATATTAAAATTAGATTTTTAATTGATTTTGATAAAAAAAATTAATTAAATGTGTAATTAAAAATTGTTGTTCCCCTAAAATATGTGATTAAAATTAATTATTGACTTCAAATTAAAATTTAATTTTATTCGATTTTAATTTACACCGAACAAGGACTTAATCTCACTCTCCAGCACCTCTTAAGGATCCTACTCGCGAAAATGAAATCATTTTATTCTTTTGCGATTAGTTCTTCGTCATCTACGATAATATCATGTATCAGGAGTTTATTGGGTTGAGTACTAAAAATTATTAACAATTTTAAAACTTGTTTCCCATTCCTTATTTAACGAAGTTCGACTTCAGTCTGTAAAGACAAAAATGCCACTCAAACATTTTTCTTGCGCATCATGGATGAGGGGCAAAAATGGTTAATTAAAATGTAATAAATGCACGCTGGTTGTCTCAAAGAAAGGGTAGAGGTGATATTTATAAATCATTTATGATTAATTTATAAATAGTCGACTAGCAAATTTATTATTGAAATTATAGAAAAACATTCCGTCCCTATTTGATCGCCATTTTTGAGTAAAATATATTATGAAATAGTTACTTTTTGGAGAATGTATGATTAAAAAGTGCAATTTTTTTTAAAATATAATTCTTTTATGATAAAATGTGTGATTGAAAATGAGATTTTAAAAAATACATTTTCAAAAAAAATAGGGCTCAGTGGAAGATTTTGAGTTATGTTACAAATACAGGATTTTTGCACGGAAAAATTATCACAGATATGGGAGTCAAAACATCATTCATAGATGGGGAAAAAACATAAAATATAGACGGACATGATTTTTTCATTTCAAAATCTTGTATGAATTATGTATGTTTTCTCAGTACTCAAGGAAAAATTCGAAGATTTTATAAGTTTTTTCCATTTTAAATGAAATATTGTGCGAGGTGGAAAATAGTAAGAGTGGGCCGTGGGCTAACAGCAGGCCGACAAGTCCAACTGGCAGCCATATTATCCAGGTCCGTACACGCAGGGATCGAGGAGAGTAGAAAAATTCACGTGCGGGCGCGTGGTTCACTGCCATCTGGATCTATTCGCTCAAAACCTTATCCACTTTCTTTTAGGGGCAATGATAACCTCACCCATCGAAAATTAGAGATTTCCCAACCCAAAAAAAACTTATTCACAGACATATTTAGCTGGAGACAAACTTCTATTCAAAATATCTTAATTGATAGGATATGCTGAAAATATTGACTATGTGAACAGCTGCATCACACTGTTGGTTGTCAATTTTTTTTTTTTTTTTTTTTTTTATAGAAGGTAGGCACTTATACATTGAAATTAATAATTGATCATAATGATATCACGAAGATATTGATTAAGCCAGGGGCGAACCCAGATGATTTGGGTTGGAGGGTCAAAAATAAAATTTATAAGGTATATTCTAATAAAAAAAAGCTAAGAAAAAAAAAAAGCTAAGCAAAAATTTTTTTTCCCCAAAATCTAGAGGGTCAATTGCCCCTATAAACACCCCCCCGGTCCGCCAGTGGATTAAGCTGATAGATGAACCTCATTGTTAAGTGTCAAAATTTGTACAAATAGTAAACCTTGACGAGTGACACTAATTACGTATGCAAGAACATTTTAGACAAGTTCGTGATCATTTTCACGTCTCATGAAAATGATGATTATGCAAACATTATAACATTTTACTAGCTGCCAAAATATTTAATATATAATTGGCATGTGAGTGGTGTATCGAGTAGTGAAACTAATGATACTATACATACGAGGACACTTCTAGTCAAGTCTTATTGATTGATCTTAATGATATCATGAAAATGTTGATTATGCGTTTTTTTTTATCTATATTGAGATTTTTAAAAAGTAAAATTCTTTTGCACCATTGTACGTTCTTTTTTATTAGAGAAGTTAATGTACGTGAGTTTCTGTTTAATTTTTATATTTTCACTTTATTTTATGTTCACCTATTTCACTAAACTTCAATTTGGGATTTTTGGATCTTATCCGATGTTTAAGGGTTGGCTATAGATTTATGATTACATTATGATGCAGATCATTTGAACAATGCCCCGTTTAAAGCGAAAAAGATGATTCGGGGTTTTGGAGTTTCATGTTAAGATTTGAGAGGTTTATTAGTTTTGGGAGGAGTAATATAATAAAATTTTTGGCAAAATGATGTCAAGATCTTATCCAATTGTATGATCTTATCGGTATATATAGTTTACATGAATTTCTATTTGATTGATACAATTTTTGCTTTATTTTACCTTTACTGATTTCATGAACTTCAGTTTGGGATTTTTGGATCTTATACCATGTTAGGGTTTGGCTATTGATTTATGGTTACTTTATGTGAAAACATGGTTTTTCATAGGATGCAGATCACTTGAACAATGCCCATTTGAAGAGGGAAAAGATTGGGTTTTGGGGTTTAGCGTTGAGATTTTGGGGAAGTTAAATAGTTTCGAGCGGAGGAATATAAGAGAAATTTTTTTTTAGCAAAATAATGCTTATACCAATCTTCTGAAATTTATGTGAAATAGGTTCAATATATAATTGACGTGTGGGTGGTGTGCGAGGGATGATATTAATGATACCATACGTGCAAGAATACTTTTACTAAAGTCATATTAATTAATCTTAACGATATCGATTGAATGTGTTAGCCAATTATAAGGTGTAAAAATTTCTAATACATAGTTGGCCTTGATGGCTGGCACTAACGGTACATGCAAGAACATTTCATTCAAGTCAATTGATGGTAATGATATCATAGAAATATTGATTAGGTGAAAATTTTGCTCGCAATTAGTTGCTAATTTCTAATTTATAATTGTCTTGTGAGGGTGGCATTAACTATTCATTCAAGAACATTCTAGCCAAAACATATTAATTAATCTCAACGATATCATGAAAGTGTTAAATTTTTTAATACATAGTTGGCCTTTAAGTGCGAGACACCAAAAATACTTGCAAGAATGCACTATCACATTAATCTATAGTATTGGTATAGTGGAAATGCTTATTATAGGAATATTAGTGAGTTCGTTGCCAAAATATGTGTTTGTATGTGAGAGATAAGTTGAAGCAAAAAAAATAGAATAATGTTATTTGCAGTCGTTAAGTACAACAGTCATCCTATGTGGTATACAAATGCAGGTGATTATTTAATGCATTAATGAATAAAAAACTCACATTAATATGTCAAATAATTATTTACCATGTTTATGCTACGTAGGGCGATTGAACGACTATGAATAACCTTACTAAAAAAAATAACTCCCATAGAATGTGTTGTTAAAAATAAAGAAAATTTACCTGTAAAATTTCTGGTATATAATTGGGCTGTGAAGGTGAACCAGAACACACAGGTAAGTTAAGAGATTCTTTTATTTGTTGGCACGTTTTGTCTTACTTACTGCTATTAATCTATCAAACTAAATGAAAATACATTTGCGAATTCTTGAATTTTCATATCCATTACTTTCCTTGTACATTGTAGTGGATCATTAATTCATTACATTTTGCACGTAACAAACCATGAAATGGATTTTCTTTTTCTATTTGCTCGTGTGAAACCCTAGAATACCATCTCAAGTTCACTCTCAAGATCGAGTCTTTTACGCTAGGGGGTCAAGATTCTCTCTGAATTCAATCTCAGAGGTCAGTTTCAATTTTCTATTTCTGGGCTACGTGTTCCAATTGGAATTTTGTGATGCTGAGGTTTGTGAAAAGTGGGATTCTGTTTTCTCCATCGTATTTCTTGCCGGCTAGAGAGATATTGCACGGGAGTTTCTGTTTGATTAATACATTTTTGCTTTGTTTTATTGATTTCATGAGCTGAATCCGGGAGTTTTGGATCTTATTTGATGTTTAGGGTTTGGCAATTGATTTATGGTTACTTAATGTGAAAACATGTTCCTATGATGCAGATCATTTGAACAATGTCCATTTGAAGAGAAAAAAGAAAATTCTGGGGTTTGAGCTTTCGTTTTGAAAATTCGAGGGAGGAGGAATAAAGGAGAAATTTTGGTAAAATGATGTCAAGATCTTATACCAACCTTCTGGATTTAGAATCTGGGAATTTATCTATAATGGGCAAGGAGAAGGAGCGGAAGCGGTTCCCAAGGGTAATGACAGTCCCGGGGAGTATAACGGAGCTAGATGATGACCAGACTAATAGTGTTACATCAGAAAACCCATCTTCAGTTGCTGGTGAAAGAATGATTATCGTGGCAAACCTTTTGCCTTTGAAAGCAAAGCGAAGGCCAGACAATAAAGGGTGGAATTTTAGTTGGAATGAGGATTCCTTGCTTTTGTGGGTAAAGGATGGCTTTCCAGAAGACATGGAGGTGCTGTATGTTGGGTCATTACCTGTTGATGTCGATCCGATTGAACAGGATGATGTAGCCAGTTATATTTTGGAAAAATTCAAGTGCGTCCCTGCTTTTCTTCCACCTAATCTTCTGGGAAAATATTATGATGGCTTTTGCAAGAAGCAGTTGTGGCCACTTTTCCACTACATGTTGCCGTTTTCAGCTGATCATGGAAGTCGGTTTGATCGGACAACGTGGGAAGCCTATGTATCTGTGAATAGGCTGTTTTCTCAGAAAGTGGTTGAGGTGCTAAATCCCGAAGATGATTTTGTTTGGATTCATGATTATCATTTGATGGTATTGCCCACTTTTTTGAGGAGGCGGTTTGTCCGACTGAGAATGGGCTTTTTTCTTCACAGTCCATTTCCTTCATCTGAGTTATACAGGACACTTCCTGTTAGAGAAGAAATCCTTAAGGCCCTACTCAACTCTGACCTTATTGGCTTTCATACCTTTGATTATGCTCGGCATTTCCTGTCCTGTTGCAGTCGGATGTTTGGCTTGGAATATCAATCTAAAAGGGGTTATATAGGACTAGATTACTATGGAAGGACCATTGGAATAAAGATTATGCCAGTTGGGATACATATGGGCCATATTGAGTTAGCAATGAAACTTCCAGATAAAGAGAAGAAGTTCGAGGAGCTGAAGCAGCAATTTGAAGGTAAAATAGTGTTGCTTGGAGTTGATGACATGGACATTTTTAAAGGTATCAATTTGAAGCTTTTAGCTATGGAGCACATGCTGAAGCAGCATCCAAATTGGCAAGGAAGGGTCGTTCTGGTGCAGATTTGCAATCCTGCCAGAGGGGAAGGAATACATATGGAGAATATAAAAGCTGAAATAGAGGAGAGCTGCCAAAGAATCAATAAAGAATTTATGAAGCCTGGTTATGAGCCTATTGTTCTTATTCATAGGCCTGTATCATTAAGTGAAAGAATGGCTTATTACAGTAT